GTTTAGGATGTTGAAAGGACTTGTTGAATTGACAACTCTGCGGGTGAGGTTCAATTTTTCCATAAATTCGTCATCAATTTGTTCAAAGCGTTGGCCAACTGCTATTTGAAAGATAACATTGGTCGTTACAAACACCACATCTTCCTCGGGGTTTGTTGGTTTTCCTGAGGAAATGCGTTGGATCATTTCGTTCACTTCTGAGATAATTTTCTCTTCAAGGAAAGGCTGGTACATGCGAATGGCAGAATGAACTATCTTTCGCTGCAAAACTAAAGTTGCATTAAAGTCACCAATCGCGATGTCTTTGGAGCCCAACGTCATGTAATCAAAAACGAAGGTTTTAGGTCTTCCATTAAAGTCATCTTTCTTGGCTAGTAGTGCTTCACGAGCATGTACTATGGAACTGACGACAACTACACGCTGTAAACCAGGCAACTCGAGGATAAATACGTCACCATATTTCTTTGCCAGTTTAGACAGAATGACGTGCGTCCTTTTCAATACATCATTGCCAGATGATAAAAGCGTGAGCAAGTTGCCAACAATGGGCAGMGGTAAAGGACCAGGTGGCATGCCCTTTGGCTTGAACAGGTAACTTATGACTATGTAAGTTAACGCCAAAATGGCCAGAGCTGCTGCTATTCCTTGCAACATACTACAAGTAAARTGAAACGGTACGACAATTAGTGTTGGAAGTATGAATACCTGCATAGCGTTTTTGTGCCTTTAAAGAAGTAGTAGACACTATGTCATCGAGTCTATGCAAAGGAGTAAGTCACAATAGAATAACGTCAAAATGTAATCAATACCCCTTCGGAAGGCCCATAAACACAGAAAGCCATCGAGAGCGATCGGCACAACATATAACTTTAGTACGAACGACCTACAAAATTTTTCGCAACCAATGCGAATCAATCATCTCTGCGGATTTACGAACTTGTTCGTGAAAATTTCCTCGTGGTAAATCACTGCTGCGAAAGTTTGCGACGTGTGCTTTGGTGAGTATATTTTGCCTTAGTTGTTCTTTACTACTTAATGACCACAGCATGACGACCCTTCACCAACGGCGCAAAGACCTGACAGAGCATTACATCTCTTCAAAGAAATTAATGATGACCCGTATAGCCTATTACCTCCGCGCAAGTCCACCAACATAGCGGCCCTCAGGAGGAGGCGAACATTCAACACACCAATTTGTCGTACAAATAGATTTAAACAAAGTTTTATTATATTCAATAGTATTAACCATTTTTCAAATTTTTAATCATATGCAATATATTTATATCTTTTCATGCATTATTATAAATATTTATTGTTTATTTTTTGTAATTGTCCGTTATCCAGCATTATGGCTGCAAAGGATTTTAATAAAGCTATCTATCTCTATCTCTACTTAATTCGGTGTAATGAAAAGTTCTATTAGTATTCTACAAGTTTTAGGCTTTCTTTTAGAAGAAATTGCTCTAAAAAGCCAGATAAAGCTCAACTGCTTCCCAAGAACTGGACTCCACGCAAGAACAAACAAAACTCTAATGAATGCATTCTATTAAAGAAACAATGCGTAGTTAAAACTTCCATTTTTCACAATTAAACTATTTTAAAATAAAATAGATTTTTTTTCATGGAGATTTGTTCGCACTTTATTATTTTGTGTTTCAAAAAAATTGCTTTGTATTGTTATTACATATTATTACATAGTGTTATCTCGGCTCTATTAAGGTGCAACAGCAGTGGCAAAATGTAAATGCTGATTGAGTCTAAATATTTTTGTTCCACAGATTTACTAACGCTATGTATCCGCTTTACTTATATTTACAATTATGTGCACAAACGTAGAAGGCACATGCGCTCATTGAGCGCATTTAATTGATTATAGAATTAGACTATAATCAGCCTAGATAGAGGCAAAAGATGTTTACAATAAGTCTGAAACTGATTAAATGATATTTCTTTTTGAGATTTGTTAAAGAATAGTGGAAATCAAATTTAAGTCTGCTCCGATGAATCTAGTCCAGTCAATCATTTTTCAGAATATGGACTATGCGTTTTCTGTTTTCAACAATTTCGGGTTGAGTAAGCATTTAATTTACTTTGATTTAACATTCAATTGTTTGTATATTATAGCTTCCATGGTTCCAAGGTTGCAAAATCCATGTCACGTACAATGTATAATATCAGAACAAATGATGTAGCACTTGTACGTAGTTAAAGTTTCTATAATTCTTACTGGTGCACTTGGAAAATAGAATGAACGTACTGGTAGTATTCTGTGCAATTTTACAAGAGCAACGGCCTCGCTTACCTCATGCTGGTTTTATGGCGCTGTTTTGACACGACATGCATTCCGAAATAGATGGGCAACCGATGTCGATTTTATTCATAGTTGATAAGAGATGCAAAGCTTTAAATTTCAATCACGATGTGAGCTTACCTGTGGACGGTAAAATTAGTGCGATAACAGGCTTTGAAATAACAAATAAATGTATAATGTCAAGGAGATGCAATAAACACAGCTTATTCGTTCAGCACCATTGAAGATACACAGCTATCCAAAGTCTAGCATAAGAGCGTGACAAGGAAGCTTAAAGATCACGAAGACCGAGCACATGACACGCAAGGAAGCACCTAACGAAGCTAACTTTATATCTTAACTAAATTCTTTCTGCTGTGTGTTATGAGTTTATATTGGAATATGGTATTTAACAATTAGACCTCGAGGTCGAGTGGACTACGAGCTAATAGCCCATGAGGCCGAGTCCGCGAGGCCGAATGGGCTATTAGCTCGAAGTTCACGAGGACGAGAGGTCTAATTGTTTTAGTATAAACATACTAATCCGTCAAATACTGAAAACAAATTGAAATATCCTTAAAATAATTATGTATTTTGATTTTCCCGCGAGTGGTCTATCACAAATTAGACCATTAGTAGAGTAGCCAATCACAGCGCAGTATGCATGAGTGATAGACCATTAGTATGTTTATACTAATTAACTATAGTCCGTGTGCAAAGTTCTATAAAATGTACTTTGTCCTTATTTGGTCCTGCGCTTCGATAACTTGAAATTTTCCAAAATATTCATGATCAAAATGGAACCTCATTAAATATTCAAGTTAACGCCTTCGGAAACAATGGTGAAAGAGGAATTCAAAACTACAGCATTTCAACACTCGTCACAGATGATCGACGTCACCGTAGATTGGATTTWAATCGGCGCGCCTGTCAYGCTAACCTGATACGTATACAGTCAAGCGCTCCTAAACCATACGATTTCCCTTCTATTTTTCTGAGTAACACAAGATCTATGGTTAAAAAATTGGATGAAATATGCGCAGTCATTAAAAATAACAATTGCGACATCGCGGTTATTACTGAGT